GATTTCTCATCGGAATTCCTTCTGCAATAGGATCAGCTAATAGAAATATACCTGAAATTTATAAAATAATGCAAGAAGATTGGATTCATGCAATCAATCGGGAGGACTGGTCTGACATGCTGACGATCATGTGTGTTGTAGACATTTTCAATCAATTAGCAGCATTAGCTTGTATTGCAGAAGTGGCAGAAGGCAGAAGGAATTTTAATAAGGAATGACAACATTTCATAATGATAACTATGTGAGATTACTATTTACCTGAAAAATCATATTCCCTAGTCTCTTGCTGCATTTTTTGTGCATTGTACAACAGCACAATGCGAAGGCATGCTTGAATGAATGAATAACGCAAGAAACACGATTCGTATGCCAAAATATTGTGAAAAACTATTTCAACCTTTTGATTCCTCTGTAACCAAATAAAAAAGTGAGGTTGTGTTTCAATAATTCACAGAAGAATGAGGTTGTGTTTCAATATTTTGCCTCCAGGGTCGGTCTTCGTGCACGCGACCTATAAAGAACTATGAACTAGCTTTCGCGGTTAATCTTTTTCTTCTTCTATAGTTTGTTTTGTAGCCATTTTTTTCTCAAGTCACAGATCACCCAACCACTCTGTGCTCGAGTTATGTGTCTGTGGTTTTCTGCAACGCATCCTCTTTGGGTCATCAGAGATAGGGTCCCTTGATGGAAATTGACGTTAAAGTCATCTTAACAGGGTACGGACAGATCATAGCTGCATTCTTTTTTAATGGAAGTATTCCCAACAACATATAATCTCCAAAAGTTCAAAAAAAATTCCAATACATACCTCCTGTCCTTATCCTCCCTAGGAACGCACGATGTTCTCTGAACATTATAGGGATTCCCTTTCGTGCGCTCCACGCGATAAAAAAAAAGAGACTTTAGTTTTGTCTACTGGCATCCCTGATATTGCTGTCACGTCACATCCATGAGCTCTACAGAAAATCGATAAAAATTTTGATAATTGGTATGTACAGGGTATTTACTTGTTGAGGAAGATCATATGGCGGAAGAGTTTTGTAATTATGATCCGATTCTATTCAAAATTAGAAGGTAACTGGGGTTTTCCGGGGTTGGAGATAATGATTGTTTCGTAAAAAATGGAAAATTCAAGATGACGGATCCAATATGGCGAAAGACATTAGTTTATATAATTATTACTTCACCACAAATAGAAAATATGTAGGATGCAAGAGTGAAAATAACGTACCTATAAGTTATACTGCGTATACCTGCTTCTTTGTTACTTTCATCAATAAATTATTCGAAAATGACTTGTTATTCAAGGGAGACGGAAAAAACAGGTAAAGTATAGTCTTTTTTCAGCCTACTGTCCTAGACGAATATTTATACATAGTATATTAGTAACTCCATAAATTCTTCTCCGAGTTGGATTTACGGAAATATATTTAGCACACATGACATGAGCATAGTAGTTTAGATACCCACATCGAGGTTTCCACCATTTCTCAATCATAAGGCTCTGCTTATTCAGCTCATAGATAAACTACTGCTCAGCTTGAAATCAGAATTCATTCAGTCAATTCAGTCAACCCTGGTATACAGTCTAAGAACAGTCTCTTTTGGTGAAATTGAGATGTCTCTAGGCATCTTAGGTGGAATATATTAAGCTTTCAGTACAATTTATATGTTCCCTACCTCGCAAAGATTATGCTGGAGTAGTAAACTCTAAAACTAGAGGATTGTTCATCTATATCTTGGTATAGTTGAGTCAGGAATTCCATATGGAAATTACGTATGATACGCCAGTGTCCTCAATATAACCTAAAAAACAAAGAATGTCAAAAATCTAGTGTTTATCCCCAGAATTGAATAAGGATGGAACTATATAACTGTTTCACAAACACTTTAGAGTGAGAGGAGACGAGGATCTGTCCGTACCCTGTTAAAATGACTTTAACGTCAATTTCCATCAAGGGACCCTAGTCAGAGAGATCCTCAAGAAGATACAAGTGACGTCACACCGCGAAAAATGGTCGTTTGGTACTCTCTCAATTTGTAGCACTTTTGAAGTATTCATTAAACGATTGTAAAGAAATCAATAGATGAGAGGAAGTGCTATTTGATATACTGTGTCATGTATGAGACCGTTCGCCATATAAAAAGGGCTATTTTCAATCATAGTGAAATTGCCAAATGTTGACAGTAAAGTTGTCATAGGTTCTCGAAAACACAAAGCATTGGCTGAGCCAGTTTTACACAACTAGAACTAGGATCCCGAAATCCTCTCTTTTTGATATTTGTACGCTTTTTTATTGAATACGACTGTACATTTACGAAAGCACTGAATGTAATGCTTATTCAGGTAGTATGGTGATAGATGATTAAATAAACTGATAATCCCACTATATTTCATTTACAACGGGCTACTTAGCTAATTTGAATATTTAAATTCAAAATGTATTAGCGACTTCTCTTGGAAAAATAGTGGTCACAAGACACCTGAAATTGTATTTAATAGATAATAATATCGATATTGGATATATATACAGGGTGTTTCGAAATTCGACCGACAACGCTTGACAGGTGATAGCCCTCGTGATTTCATAATCACTGAGATAGGGACAGACGGTCTTGAAGTGTTCAGTTCTCGAGATACAGGGCGTTGAAGTTAAGAAATTTAAATAGTTTTTTCGCAATATCTCAAGAATAATTTAATATAATGCATTCAAATTCGGTATATGGTTTCATCTTTCACTGATTAATTTCTTGACCAGAAAGACATTCCGAGAATTTTATCCAGAGATGCGCTACAGAGGGTTGTGATAACTTTTCCTCCCATATTTTCTACGCCACTGATGAAATTTCAATTATTTCCAATTTCTCGAATTGTTTGTTCAGTTATGTTGAAAAAATGCATCACCTTCAACTGAGCTAAAATGAACAGTTATCGGGATATTTGACCCAAAATAGAAGTATGCATAGTAATTTTTCATCTTCCTCGGTAGTAAAAAATTACGAAAATTTTTGTTTTCTCTTCATGTGTGGAATAACTATTTCTGTTCAGCTATGGAATGAGATCTGAATAGTATCTAATCCACTCAACACCAGAAAAATATTTTTGCAATTTTCTACTACTGAAAATGATGAAATATTACTATGCAATCTTCTATTTTGGGTCGAATATCTCGAGAACTGTTTATTTCAGCTCAGTTGAAGGTGATGCATTTTCTGAACAAAATTGAACAATGAATTCGAGGAATTGGAAATAATCGAAATTCAATCAGTGGCGTAGAAAATATAGAAGGAAAAAATGCCACAACCCCCTGTAGGGCACCACTGGACAAAATGTCCGGAATGGCTTCCAGGTCAAAAAATGGCCCATTCAAAGATGAAACCATATACCGAAGTTGAATGCATTATATTCAATTATTCTTGAGATATTGCGAAACAACTATTTTCATTTCTCAACTTCAACGCCCTGTATCTCGAGAACTGAACACTTGAAGACCGAATGTTCCTATCTCAATGATTATGAAATCACGAGGGCTATCACCTGTCAAACGTTGTCGGTCGAATTTCGAAACACCCTGTATATATATATCTTCTCTATTTGATAATATTTATATGGATTAATTCTGCGCAGGATTTCTGTTATTGCTCTCTCGGTCTCACGAAAATATAGGAATATTATTTTTCTGTTTTTTTTTGGCAACGGACCTATGAATGGTTATTAGGAAAATATTATGTGGTATCGTCACTCGCTGTATTCTATACGATGATCGATTCAATTCGGGAATGAGTTTGTTCAAACCAGATATATCCTGTTCTTCTTCCAACAAAAATAGATTTCCCGAGAGATACAAAGTACACTCCCATAGTCCCTCCAGTCAAGTCTAGTCCCTCATTATGTGATACTAAAATAGATTGTTGGAAAACATCAAATATTATAGTTTTACATGCGGGGAACGGGATTCCTGCTATGAAAAATATCAACACAATGAAATGAACAAAAATATGTTAAGCCCCATTGGATCTTCATGTGAAATTAACTTCCCTATTTTTCCTAATTTTTGTCATTATTCCACATTTGTTCTCTTATTTTGCAATAATTAAGGTGATGCTGAAAATGCTTGTTTTTATTTCAACTCGTTCTCATTTCTATAAAGTTTTTGAAACAGCTGTCATAACATTGGACAAATAGTCTACTTTTTGCTCTTCGGAATGTTACAGGGTGATCAGCTAGCTTATTAAATATTATTTATTTCAGTCATACAGTCAAACACGAATTTGATAATGAAAATGTGATCAAACCAGATATTTCACTATAAAGTTTTTTTTATCGCTTGAAGCGCACGAAAGGGGATCCCTATATGAAAGTCAACTAGAAATATGATGTTCTTGCGATTTATCCATATTTAGTGAAAAGATGGAAGAATATGAATGGTCGTCATCTGGTATGATTGTTCACTATACATGAAAAACTCAAGACTACAACTTCATGTTATACCCTGCGTCTTCGAAATGGGTGATATACCCGAAGCGTAGAGTTGTCCCAGTTGTCAGCAGACCGAGAGCAGCTGATGAGACCTGGTGGGTCGAAACAGTACTGTCTCGCTCCTGCTGACAATTGGGGCAACTCTGTTCATCCTAGATCTCTCAGTTATGAGATTTAGCAGTTGAATAGGTGGTGGAAAAATTCCACTCAAGTATGTCAGGTAGTGCCATCTGTCAGCAGAGTGATTTACTTGTAGTACCACTCTGTAGCGTATAGACGTAGGGGTCTATACGTGGGACTATAGATGGCAGCGCCATACAGTGTATGTCGCGATATCTCTGTATCCTACCCCAGAGCTTTGCCACAAGATGGCTACAATATGACTACAACTTCATGTTATACCCTGAGCCTAGAATTTTGTCTATTCGTCCAAAAAACAGTATGTTAAGGACTTGATACGTAAATTACTATTCTCATAATTATGAATAAATAAGTGACTGAATAAACTAACCAATTTCAGGTGACAACAGGCGAAAATGACCTCGACAGAGACGAAGTGAACATCATCAGCGGAGCGCTAGAGCTGCGCCGAAAGACGGTCAGAGACGTGATGACCAAGATCGAGGACGTGTTCATGCTGGACTACGAGTCCGTGTTGGACTTCGAAACGGTCTCCGAGCTGATGAAGAGCGGATTCTCGAGGATACCGGTGTACGAGAGCAACAGACAGAACATCGTCACCATGCTGTACATCAAAGATTTGGCCTTCGTCGATCCCGATGACAACACGCCGCTGAAGACGCTATGCCAGTTCTATCAGAATCCGTGCAACTTCGTTTTCGAAGACGTCACTTTGGACGTCATGTTCAAGATATTCAAGGAGGGCAACAAGGGCCACATGGCGTTCGTCCATAGGGTGAACAATGAGGGGGAGGGAGATCCGTTTTATGAGACTATTGGTCTGATCACTTTGGAGGATGTTATTGAGGAGCTGATTCAGGCCGAGATCATGGACGAAACTGATGTTTTCAGTGAGTTTTTATGTCATCCAGGGTAGTTGTCATGTTTCTTTGCTAAAAATTACCGACATAATAGTTGCGTTTTTTTGACATTGCTAGTGTCACCAGTGATATTGAATCGCCGTTTTATTGACTATTCTGTGGAATTTCTTATAATCCTGGTGGCACTGGCCATTTGGTCTCAGAACATCGAATGCGTGGTGGAATGTTCGGAATGCTTGACAAATAAGGTAGGGACCATATACGTATTAATAAACAATACGGATCATAACGGGTGCCAGGATGAAGCCAAAAATATGAAACAAATGAATATCCATAAGGATTTGGTGGCATGATAAGCATGCGCTATGCGCTATTATAGTAGTCATCAAAGACATGCGTTTCGGTGGACAATGACGTTTACTAGCCTTTCAATCAAAGCAGTATGTGTCTGATCGTTTCAAAACTTTTCCTTATGGATAGTCATTTGTCTTCAAAAATCGGCTTCATGTTTCGCTATGGAAACAGATAGAGATTATCCGTATTGATTATTAATACGTATATGGTAGGGACCTACTTATGGAAAAGATGAGCCAACAAAAGAGGAAAAATGGGCATATAGCTCATGGAAATATTCAAGAGTAAATCTGAAATGGTTCTGAAAGGTCTTTGTATTGAATCTTGGTAAAACAATCTCATAAAAATTTCGAATCTCCTGGAATCCTTAATTACATATTCTGAAAAAGGTCAGAAACATTCATCATCCTGAATTCAATTTCTTCCTCTTATGAATCCATAATTTCATGAAGAATGTCGCTAGGTAGGTATAACAAATATAAGTTTCAATGCACTTTCCATTTCCATAATATGGTATGCTTACTGCATGATTCACTACAATATTCTCCATTAATATATAGGTACTATCAAATTTGATAATATCGAATAACACCAATGTCTAGGGAATGATTATTGATTAGTAATAGTTAGAAATTCCCACGTACATACCCCTAAGCCCGCACGAATATATCAAAACCATTTTTCAATATACAGGGTGTTTCAAAAAAACCTAACCCCCTTGCTAGGGTAGGTAGAACATTGCAAAATAAGTTGGGTTTGCTCAGTAAAAATATGTCGTAAGGCCATCCCTTTTCAAGATACAAGGTGTTGGAAAAAAATTGTTTTTCAACATTTTTTACGATTATGTTTAAACTACTGGCAACATTGTGATGAAATTTTGTATGGATGTGTTTTGAAACCTGACACATTGCATGAATTTGTTTTTATATCTGACACTCATAGAGGGCGCTAGTTACACCTACCGAGTACTTTTAAACATAACTTTATTGAGGTTAGATTTTTCAGTCTAAATTCGGTATGAACTTGAACATCATTCAATTTTACACTAAAAAGGTGCACTTGACACTTGATACTGTGTACCGTTTTCGGGATTTTTCGATTTGAAAATGCTGAAGAACGCTGATGCTAGTTGAAAGTAAGTATTATAAAAGACTGTTACCTATTTATTTAAAACCACGTCAAGAGCAACTGCAAGAAAGAATTCTGATCTCATAGCTGATACTCAACCGTTGAGAAGATTGATGCATTCTCAAAAAAAAAAGGATCGCATTGTGTATTCATGAAAACGGATGACATTTTGAACACTTACACTAGATGATGTTTTTAGTCAAATTTAATTAAATATTTTCTGATGTGATTTTGTTTAATCCATAACCTCAGCAGTAAAATAATGTTAATGTTTTCTGTCCTTGATAAATAGATAATTGTTTTTCATAATACTTTTTCTAGTACCAGAATCAGAGTTATTGCTTCAGCATTTTCAAATAGAAATATATCGGAAACGGTACACAATATCGAGTTTTATTAGGAGAATCATTTTCGTGTAAAATTGAATAGTGTTCAAGTTCACATTGAATTTGGACTGAAAAATCTTACCTCGAAAAAGTTATGTTCAAAAGTACTCGGTACGAACCGTGTGACTAGCTCCCTCTATGAGTGTCAGAAATAAAAACGAATTCATGTGGTTTGTCAGCTTTCAGAACACATCCATACAGAATTTCATCACAATGTTGCCAGTAGTTTCGACATAATCGTGAAAAATGTGTAAAAAAATATTTTTTCAACACCTTGTATCTTGAAAACGGATGCCGTTACGACATTTTTTCACTGAGCAAACCCAACTTATTTTGCAATGTTCTACCTACCCTAGCAAGGGGGTTGGGTTTTTTTGATACACCCTGTATATCATCATTCCATGAATCCAATCCAGAGATCAAAAAAATTGATCTAATCTACACTTTGATGTTTTTTATTGATGATTATTATGTCATTTTGATTGCATGTGGTTTTCACATGGTTGTCATCGAATCAATGAAATTCTTCATTCTTTGCCGTTTTATTCGTTCCTACACAATTCTCACACCAGAGAATCACAAACAAACGCGACTAATGTACTATCAACACCGCCTTGCAGATGCATGAGTTTGAGCCCCAGTTGGAAATGGATGTTTGTATTTGTATGCTTCCGCAAAACCGCACAACTTTCGACTCATGGGCTGTTGGTTCCAGTGCTGAAACAGTTAAGATCATTGTCTTTCAACTGATTCAGCTAAGATTTCCACAAAATTCTCAAACACACGACATGTTTCGCTAACATAGTAGCTTCGTCAGGTGGATATACTGGTACGATGAACTAAACTAACCTTGGCTGGCTTATATATCCTACTTTCCCAACCTGAAGGATTTGTCACATTAATGTAGATATTGCGCCTAATTTCCGAAAATGGAGGTTTATCGAACCTGTCCACAGGTAACTAATCCTTCAGGTTGAGAAAGTAGGATATATAAGCAAGCCAAGGTTAGTTTAGTTCATCGTACCAGTATATCACCTGACGAAGCTACTTTGTTAGCAAAACATGTCGTGTGTTTGAGAATTTTGTAGAAATCTTATCGTTTGTGAAGTTTTTACATTTGCCATGAATTTCCATCAAGTAACGGCCGAGTCAAATCAAATTATTTACTATCAACCTGTAACATTTCATTATTGACATATTTGACACGTAAAATAGTTCTCCTCTTTTACCTGCTATAGTAGGTAGTTTTGTCAAATCCTATAACTTTCGGTGAGTACAAAAATTAGTAATGATTAGTAGTGAATAAAGAACGATATATGTCTTGGTAGTTAAGTCAGTAAAGTCAACATGACACCTTGAATACGTCGGTTGAGATATTAATTCTACTGGCAGCACTCACATGACAGAATAGGACGTGAAGCAGTATTGGGTTTTTTCATACATATAGGCTGTGGCGAAGGATGAATCACGTGGGAAGTCAAGTGTACCCGAGACGGGAATTCCTGCGGAAATCCGGGAATTCATTGGGTAGTCCGGGTATTTTTTGTGAAGTCCTGGAATTTCTTGGGAAGTCTGTATAATAACGATTTTCCGAAGCTTGCCTTTTATCGAATTTCAAAATGGTAAACTACTCGCGGTGTTGAATTTATTAGAACTTATTCACTATCACATGCATTCTATATCTACTAAAATATCAATTTAACATTTTTTCAATCTTATGGAGCGCACGGAAGGGAATCCCGATAATATTTGAGATATTTCATGTCATTTCTATCCATTCGCCTTCATCACTTTTCACAATACGCGTTTTTTCAGTTTTTTCCTCAGATGTACCCAATCGAAGTGAAGCAAGTGGGAAAAATGAGTAGAAAGAATTCATCTGAACTTCTGAATTTATTTGCACTATAGGGTACAATGAACTAATTTGTGAAATGTCAACTGAATTTGAAATCGATATATCACGAGATATTATATCATTGAATGAGTAGGTACTCTTAGTTATTGATGAGAAACAGCGTCAAGCTTTGTCGCTCTGCCCTGTATATCGAACATAGGAGTCCAAAATGAAACTGGCAATATAAAAGTCGATGTATTCACTGGAAAGTCCCGGAATTCCTTGGGAAGTCTGTGAATTATTTGGGAGGTCTGGGAATTCTTTGCGAAGTCCGAGAATTCCTTGGGAAGTCCGAGAATTCCTTGGGAAGTCCGGGAATTCCTTGGGAAGTCCAGGTAGTCTTTGGGAATTCCTGGTATTCTTTAGGAAGTCCAGGAAATCTTTGAGTATTCCCAGGAATTCCTTGGGTAGTCCCAGGAATTCCGGGAATTTTTTCGCCAAAGGAAGTCTAGTGTACCCGAAATCGACCCGTGATTTACCCCTCGGGCTGTGGTCAAAAGTTTATGATACATTAGCCATTTTTCCTCAAAGATAACCACACAAACCGGGTCAACAATAAGTTAACCAGTCAATTTTTCTCGAAGTGTATTCCAAAATATGACGAAATAGTTAACCCACCACACCAACCAGCTCACTGAAGTAGGCCTTGGAGTTAGTTAAGGTTTCTGATTGGTCACTGGATTAGGCTCTTGTTTCTCACTCTTGTTGTTGTTATGATCTGAGGCCATAAATGATGAATAAATAATTATTCTTTATGAGATAATTATAGATTCATATGAAGTATTTGTGAATGAAAGATCCTCTCATATTATTGACGAAATAGTTATTTATGCAACAAGTGCAAAAAGTGAATGTTTATTGCATTCGACGTGAAATTGTCCGACGAGGCCGTTAGGCCGAGTTGGACAATACGTCGAGTGCAATAAACAATTTTTGCACGAGTTGCATACAACATTTTTTCTACGTTCATGCAAAAAGCAAAAAATGATTTATTGAGGTGCGGCACTAGGTACAATTCTGTTAATTGTCAGAATTAATTTTTGACTGACGTTTCTATAACCACAGTTGCATTATAGAAAATGTTTGTCATGATGACAGCACGTTGAAGTAGAATGACAGATGAGTGCAATAATAGTAGATTATACCACGAGTCAATAATGATAGCTATTATTCTCGAGGATTTTTTACGAACCGAGCCGCGTTAGCGGCGAGGGAGTAACATTCCGAGAGAATAATAGCCATTATTGCGAGTAGTATACTCTACTTTATTTGCGACTAATATATATACTTGTGGTTTTTGAAGTATAATGCCATATATTAATCCCGCAGGGAATAATGGCGAGGGATTAATAGTCTTTATTCCCTGCGGGATTAATATATGGCATTATACTTCAAAAACCACAAGTATAATATATTAGTCGTGAATAAAAACTTTATTGCACTAAGTGCAATAAAGACTTTCTTTTTCCACTAAATATAGTTCAATAAAGTTCTGTTTTTTGCATGAATGTAGAAAAAAGAAATAATTGATTCATTGAAAATAATTGAGAGCTACTGGCTCCACTAAATATAGTTCAATAAAGTTCTGTTTTTTGCATGAATGTAGAAAAAAGAAATAATTGATTCATTGAAAATAATTGAGAGCTACTGGCTCAAATTTCCTTGGATTCCTTATCTCTCATACCCTCATCTCAAATAATATTAGATTTATTTTTCTTGAGCGGTATATAACCTCTGCATCTTTGATCATTATCATTATTGGAAATAAGTAATGAATCACTACTAAATGCTTCATACTTATAGCTATAATTTTTCAGCTGACAATCGTTCTAAACGAAGAAGAACTGCCGAAAGAAGACAAGATTTCACTGGTTTTGCTGAAAAACGTGGAGAACCTAGTAAAATGAGAATAAGTCCTCAGTTGACTCTTGCTGCCTATCAGTATTTGAGTACCAGTAAGTATGCTATTTATTTTCTCTAAAACAAATCTCCTAGAGCACCAAATTGGCCGTGCTTTCAAATATGATTGATAATAGTACACATTTATTTATGTTTTAGGTGTGGAACCCTTCCATCATAATGTGATATCTGAAACTATACTTCGTAGACTCTTGAAACAGGACATTGTGGTGCACATAAAGAAAAACAAGGAATGGCGCACTGACCCTACGAACGTGATATACCAACAGGCTAAGCCGGTCGACTTTTTCGTCATCATTCTCGAAGGACGAGTCGAGGTTACCGTTGGCAAAGAAAATTTGGTGTTTGAAGGTGGACCGTTCACTTATTTCGGTACTCAGGCGTTGGTACAAACCGTTGGGATAGGTGAGGAAATGAATTCGAGTTCTGTTCATGCGTTCATCTATAACACATCACTGTGTCCAAAATAGTATATTGTTTAACGAGCACGAAATGATAGTGATTTCCTACGAGAACGTATGAGCCATAGGCGAATGCTGCAATCATTCGAGTAGGACATTAGCATTCCGTAGCATTTCGTGCAAGTTATACACTATAATTTGTCTACGGCTATAATAGATAACAGTGGCATTTTCGATTTCTTCGTCTTGTAACCATCTGATTTCCTGTCAAGTGATGCTCATCTATTAGACAGAGCTGTCATTGCTACACATTTGACACTCCATGAGTGATTAGTCTTTTTTGAAATAATAACACAATGGAGTCATTATGATAACAGATACGGAAATAAAATTGATGACATACAAAGTACCTCATTGATGTATCGAACACAGTAAAACAAGAGCAATTTTGTGTTATAGCCGTAGAAAAACATTTTTGTAGGTTTGTTGACATTTATAGATCCATAAGTAATGAAAATGTTGAAGCGGCGACAAGAGCAATAAGAGCGTCGATGAAATGTTGAAGCTTTGATACTAGTATGGTTAAAGTTGTTCACTTCATTGGCTTCTCGCGGTAATCAGCGTAATGTTATGAATTTTCGAAAATGTCTCCAAACATCATATAAAAGACCCAACAAACAGCATGTCTCACTTTAAACGCCCCCCCTCCCCCCTCCCTCTATATATCATCTATCAGTTGTGCAATTCTTACTTTGGACTGGTATGAATAACCATCAATATGATCAGTTTTTCGGGGACAAATATCATTATGAACAATGTCCTTCATTTTTATTGAATTCAAAAGGAGTCTATTTCTTATGAGATTATATTAGGAATTTTTTTGCAGAAAAACTAATAATAATATTGTTCTTCATTGTTTTAAAATGTGTGAATTTTTATAAAAAAAAAGGTAGCTCCTCCTCTATTATGAATGCATCAGGTTACTTGCCTTTGCATGGAACAGATTTGTTGATTTCAGGTTATTATATAATTTATTAAAGATTGTTTAGGGAAACAACTTTGACACAGTATTACCGCTAATATAACGATATAAATGCTGTGAACGTCTTAAAATTATTCCCTTCTGATCACAAAAACACAACATTCAGAAGTTCTCTTGTTCTTCTGGCACATATTTAGGCTTTGGCGTCACTCAATTCTTATTGTTCCGTGTGACCTATTACAACAAAGGAGGGAAGCATGATCATTAATGAGCAAGCGCACTGGTTTCTTATTTATTTATTCATCAAACAAATAACTTTCAAACAGAATAGGATCTGGTATGAGCAAGTACATAATTATATACCTATAGCTAAACATTTCATAATTCCAAATTGAATAACAACAATAATTTGGTAAACAAAGAGAAATATTTGTAGAGTAAGCATATTGAAACAATTCTACTAAAAATTTTATCCAATTCGTTCAGAAACAATCAGTTCTTTCACTTCATTTTTGAATTTACCTAAATTTCTACAGCTTTTGATATGGTCAGATAGTTTATTGAATTCTATTGAGGCTGCATGAATGAATCTTTTTTGTCCGCTTATATGGAGCAGCGTGAATATGAAACAAGTGGTATTGTCTGGTTTCATTATCATGAATTTCAGAATATATTCATATTGAATAATAATAATAATGATAATAATAACAATGATCATTTATTCAAATAGGGCATCCTAATATACAAACAACATTTATTCAAGTTTTATAAATTGTAAAGTCTTAAATATAAGTAAATTACACAGATGAAGTTTATATTGAATATTAAAGAATCCAAACAATAAATAGTGAAATGAAGAATATTGTATATAAAGAAAAAGAACAAATTATTAGTATGTTTAACTATTGTCGATACTATCGACTATAGAAAAAAAGACTGAGGTTTATTGATATCTCATTTTCAAATATCTAACAAGGGATTTCTTAAATGTTCTAAGAGATTCATTTTTTTTTTATTTCATCTGGGAGGCCATTTTACTCTAGTAGTCCTTTATGGAATAAAGAGTTCATTGAACTAGTGTAATACAGGTTATTATTACCTCTGGTAGGATAATTATGAATTTGATGCTGGAATATGATGAATTGATCAAAGTATAAGGAAGCATTACCAGACATTATTTTGAAAATAAGTATCATTGAGAAATAAAACAAGCGATCCTTTACAGTTAGCCAATTTAGAACTTTAAGCATCGGTTTTGTTGGTGTATATCTATTACATTTCAATATCAAACGCATACCTCTATTTTGTAACTTCTATAGTGAGGACACAGAGTTCGCATCTATCAGTGACAGTAAACTAGCACAGTAATCGAAATGGGGTTGAATAATGGATTTAAAAACTGTAATAGAAGTTTGAAGTGGCAAGTACCTATTGACACGACTAAAGAAATATTTTTGTTTACAATTTTGTCACGGATATATTGAAAATGTTTTTTCATGCCCAATGTTTGATCAACAATAAACCCCAAATATTTAAATTCCTCTACAATATCAATCATAAACATTTATACTTTTTGATGTTTTGTCAATCGAATGTGTCTATGTTTAGTTGAGATAATCATTGCTTTGGTTTTATTTGTATTTCATTTTAGTTTATTGATGTTGAGAAACTCAGTAATCTTGATTAGTATGTCATTCATTTTATTAATTGCAATGAGAGTGTCATCGGCAAATAGGTTGATGAATTCACATCCATCCAGGAAGTTGATGTCATTCAGGTATAGTATAAATAATATGGGACCTAGAACACTTCCTTGAGTGAGAATTCAATAATCATGATTATAAAACAATAATCTCAAATTGAAAACTGTCGTTGGTTCTCCAGAATCCCCCTCTGTGGCGCCCTCCACGATGGGCAGCCTCGAGTCCCTCAACATCGACTCCCTCCTGCGTCACACCTTCATCCCGGACTATTCGGTGCGAGCCTCCACCGAGGTGCTCTACCTCAAGATCAAGCGCAGCCTCTATCTGGCGGCCAAGAGGGCCTCGCTGATGGAACGGTCCAAGAGGGGGGAGCACCAGACCGAGCAGCAGTTCGACGAGGAAGTTGACAAGGTGGGTGCAGGTTGGGTTTGTGGTAGTTTGGATGTGGAGTTGGGAGTGTTTGGAGTGTGTCCACGGATGTATGCAAATGAGAGATGATAATGATGGCACGCATTTACTTAGATTAGGCGATTGGTGTAATTAGAGTTCCTAAGTGTACTTGACATTGCTGTTTTGACGTATTTTGTAAATAAGAGTACGGACACTATGACAAGCACTGACAATCAGACATAACCACAAATGAATTGATGGAAAAAGCAGGCACTGACAGTACATGAACGTACATGACATAAATTTCAAAGGTTAGACAAATTGAGAGAATTAGAAGAAAGATGCAAGTTTGTGCAGTTTCCAACTGTGAGAACACGGAAAATCAATTCATTCTATTCGAATTTCCATCGGATAACGTAATTCTACAAAAATGGAAACAGAATATGATGCGGCCGGTAAGGAATATATGTTCAGGCCACAAAATTTGCGAAGTATTCAAATTTCTTGGTAGGATATGGAACATTTTTCTACGCATTTTTATCAGGAACACTTCAGAACGGAAGATTTGATATTGAAGAATAGGATCGTATTAAGAGAAAGAGCAGAACCCACAATTTATAAACCGAGCGAGTATCGAAAGGACCTTATTACCATTTAGAACCAACAAGAAACAAAAAAATTGCAGATAATGAAATTCATTTCGAACATATTTCGAAAGAAAAAGACTAGAAATTCATATTTGAGACAAATGCTTCTCGATGATTAGATAAAATCATGTATATTTCCAGATTGCCACTTCATCAAGAAACAAATTTTAAATTTGTTTTCTTTGTTCCGTATTCGGATTCATCTGGCGAATGAAAAACAAAAAATAAAACGAGCCATGTTGATGAAAAGAAAGGATGAAAAATGAAGAGTATCAGAATGCGAGATAATTTATTGATTCGTGATAAGTAGTGATATAATTCATGGTAGGTAATTTTAAGCTCTCGGCTCTAAGAATATAGCTCAAATTCAATCATCTTTTTTATCTATTGGAGCGCACGAAAGGGAATCCCTATAATGTTCGAAGAACTTTTTTTGAACTTTTGAAGGTTATAAGTTCTTTGAACTACCTCCTTTGGCGAAGAATTCCAAGGCTTTGCCGCGAGTTTTGATAAAGAGTTGTTCGACATATTTCGAGGCTAACGACAAAAGTATGTGCCAACTGGGCCTGTCGACTCTGGTTATTGCTTGTGATGGAATGATGGAGCAGAGATCACAATAGCCACCATAGAGATCATGGTCGATCATCTGATGATGAAACAGCAGCAACTTCCTGAATTGACTGACTCAAACATATTAATATATAGAAGACTGGAACCTTTGGCACGATCATACACTACACTGTTTTACCACTAACCAAACAGATTTTTTGAACGCCTTGACACGTGTTTCGCTAACTATGTTAGCATCTTCAGGAGAAGATTAAAACTGTTTTAATTATACTTGCTAACTAGGTTTTCATTTAGAACAAGAATGAACTAGAAAGCTATTCTTGAACTCTTGAACTTTTCATTGTACATAACCAACAGGAGAGAAGAGAAAGAGGGATCATTACAGCATAGCGAATACTGTAATTTCATGCGGGAATCTAGGCTTGTTGATTAATCAGTTTCTTTTTAAAACATTTTTCTGATTGTGTTGAGAGGTAATGAATCATCCACATATCTTTGAAATGTCGAATCAAAAATATAATCATCCATCATAAAATAGAAAATGTCTGACAGCTAAAGAAAATTATGGAGGGGCGTGCTTTATGGCAAGCTCTGAGTGAAAGTGACAACTCATATAATTCAAACAAAACTCTCTTCCATGAACTGTAATATAAATACAATTGTCAAAACTAAATCTCAAATTGATTTACCAAATTTGAAATATCTAGTTGGGAAATGGATGAAGCATGAATCGTTTATGAGAAGTATCATTAAGTATTATTAGTAGTATTGCATTCATCCGTGGGCATATTGTGTGAGCATGAAAGGACTGATTCAATATTTTGAAATGTATTTGAGTAGAAAAACACGAGAGTGAAAGATGCAGTAGCAATTTATGAATTGCAAGAGACGAATATGTTTTCAATAATGACAACTATGAGTCAGTGTACAAGGGTAAACTTTCTACATTACATACATTCCACATACATTATGGAATTTAACTCACAATTCAAGTGTATGTCAACTAAATCGCTAATTAAAGTTGAATTTCTTCACTGCTCTTTCTGAGAGTTCACTATTGAGTCTTCAGGGTCATCCGAGTTGGATTTGGATTTAAAAAAAAACATGGCTGTGACATGTACAGAGATGTCATTCATCAATAGTTATTTTTGTATCTAGAGCGCGAAATGCTACTTTGGTGATCGAGATCTGATTTTTTCAACTAGGCGTAGCCGAGTTGAAAAATAGTCGAGATGATCAAAGTATTTCGCGCTCGAGTTGCAAACAACATTTTTTCTACAAACGTCAAAGAATATAGTTCTAAAGTAAAAATATGCTTAGCTTGATATAAAAAATAGTATTGAACTGGCTTAAGAGGCCTCCCCCTATCCTCCCTAGTTACGCACGATGTTCCACGAACATATAGGAATTTCCTTTCGTGCGCTCCAAGAGATAAAACAACGTTATTGTTGAACATTCAGGAAAAGATGATTTCTTGCATCTTTGCTCGATTGAGGACCATAAAGTTGAAATATAAATATCTCATATATTTTACATAACAATGCGCGAAGTAGGTACTTCGCGCATCGTTTTACTTCGCGCACTGCTTCGCACATGGTGTCGTGGTAACGTAGGAAACTGAAAAAAAGTGTCACTTCGCAATTTGTGATCAATGCGCGAACCTTGTTTTTTTTTTGACGTTTGTAGAAAAATATATTTTCGTTATTTTTTCGCATATTTCTTTCCCTCAGTAAATTATAAGGGTGGCCTTCTTCGATACTTTACCTACCTAATTCATGAATACTATCTCATTGACGTTGAACATGACAACTAGAATAGTATGGATTGAAATTCAAAATTGTTTTATAAGATGTTTATTATGCTGAGAATCGATGTGTCGATATCATAAATAAATAAATACAAGTTTATTTTTAAAATATGTCCATTGGCACAATATATTATATAAACTGTATATAAACTATACAGCAAACATAGATTAAAATGACGTCCAGAGTGTTTCTACAGGTTATCTTTCAGATTCTGTAATTCATAAACTATTCAATTGTGCGAGGTTCTATTTGAATGATATAGAAAGTGAATTGTGTATATTACAATATGATAATATTGAAAAAAGGCTAGATGTAACCTCGAATGACCAGTTACTCAACGTTTTATTCAACGGTATTGAATTTCAATCGAAAGTTTTTTGAAAAACTTGTAGGCTAGGTCATTGACTCACTCTGTACTGTACAGTCCAAAACCATCTCAAACAAACTGAGTTGTTGCTAATAGGTGACCTATGTGGTCTGCCTAGAAAGGATATTCATTTTGCAAATCCATACTATTTGTGATAATTAGTTATCTAATAATCAAAGTCACAAATCAAGATGAAGTAATATGAAATGGAATAATATCATAAAAAATGAAAAAGATGTTCCGAACACTCCAATAGGTATGTTGAATTTGTTCATTGTTTTCCTGTTTATACTATCAACAACCACAATATTTTTCATTGAACTTGCTCTTTCCTCAAATTATAGGTATTTCGCCAATTTCGAGGATCTCTAAGCGTATCACCTGTTCATTTAGCCAAAATAAATGAGAATACAACGGTATGTAGGCAAATCTGCCTAGAAGATTATTCTTAAATAACTGAACTGCCTTGATCTAACATTTTCAAAGTTTGATTATTAATTTCAATTGCACTGCTTCTTAAACTCTATTGGCTATTTGAATTGAAAATTGTTGAAGCTGTAGATCCTTTCGAAAGTATGATTTGTTTATGCTTGTATTATTTGAACATGTTGTCAACCAAAATCTAAAATTACATTTCATTTTTTAAACATTGAATAATTCATACATTCAGGTTTCATTGTGAAACGGGAATACTTCGACAGTGCGTAGAGGTCATCGTGGTAGACCTCACTTTGTACCCTGTCAGTCTTTATAACCGATGCATAGGTATTTTCATTAATTTTGATCATTCATAGAGTAATATCATTGAACCCAGTTATTTTTCAATATTTGCTACACATATCTTTCTTTTACTACCCAAGCCGTTAGCGTACTAGAGAAGGAAGGAATGCAGGTCCGGAATAACAAAAATTCAATGAATTGTAATCAACTGGAAAATCCTTCTCTGGTTGAAAAATGAAAGGAATATACTGGGTGTTTTAGATTTTAGAATGTGGGACGATATTGCATTATTTGTTATGCTAGCTCAAGCTTTTGCACTCAAGCATTTTGAATAATTTGTGGTTTGGCTTTTTTTCAAGTTGTATAATTATTGTCTTCCCCATCCTTTGGTCTACATGTGAGTAGTTTCATATTCGGGTGGCAATAATTATGCAATTATTGAACAATACTTGTTTCATCTGAGATGATAGAAAGTATTGTGAGCTTACATATATTTGTGAGACGTCACTTTTGCGAAAAACACGTCTTATATTGATTTATCCCCAACTGTAGTATATGGACAAACGTTATTTGAATCACTAGTGTTATTGTTATCAACTTTGTAGGAATATCATTTCGTGCGCCTCAAGAAATAAAAAAACTTGTTCTGCTTTTGAGAATTTACAGTACCTGCTTCTGAAGTTCTGCTATTTTAATGTCCAGTTGTTCCTTTTACTTCTACTTCTCATTTTAGATTTTATTGAGCCTCGAAACACAGCAGTGGTGAATCCAGGGTAATAAATAGGGGGGGGGGGGGGGTAATGAATATGAAAAGTAAAATACGAATATACAGTGCCTTCGTAAAGTAGGTACTGACTGGATTAATTTTTAGCCATCCATTTCTGAGAGATCTTCTGAAATAGGTCGATT